AAGAACTCGTGTATGACACAAAGATTGAAACGAAATTATAGAAAGATGTTTCCTATCAAAATATCAAACAATATTTGGTGCTTATTTCTTCAATACCTTCATTTCGTTAAAAACAACATTAATTAAATATTATGTAATTATTAGTCAAATAGTGCCTACCACGAGATCTCTTAAAACGTACCCTAATGCGATCTTGCCCAATACAAAAGAAAACATACAAATCAAACAAACTTGAATTACAGCATATACGTTTGCAAGAACAAAAAAAGTCTTTATGCATGTAGTTTAGTAAAGATACATTATTCTGCACAATGATCCGTCAAATGGTGAACATGTTTTCCTTTTGTCTTTCACTGGAGATCTTACATGTCAATAATAGTAGCGGCAAAGCAATGGCTAGTAGGATGAAAATTAGTAATACTATATTTAGTTCTAGTGGCTGGTGTAGTTAGGAAGTTAGTAGAAATAATAAGTTTTATATAAACATTTGTTAGATATTGGTTATGACATATAGATGTAATAAAAAACAGTAGGTCACGCAAAAGAGCAGAAAATTAATATAGCTCTCTCGCAATCAGACTCCTTAAAAATGTAAACAGAAGATGTATGCTATAATTTGATGTCATATGTCTTTCGGTCCATTTGTTTGCTTGTCTACTTTTCTCCTGGTTAGTTTTTCTCATCCTTGAGACAGAATTATCTCATGGAATTGTAATCCTTTCATATGTTGTCTTGGTTCGAGTATATTTGGCCGGCAATCTCAGGCCGCTTAGTCTCTCCCTGCTAAGCGCACGAATTTCTCAAAATATTTTGTATCTTTCGTACATAAAGAATATTATAACACATTTGTTAACTATTACATTGTGTCCTGTAATTACCCCTTAAGTTAATCTGAAACAGAACGTAAGTTATTTACAATTATTTATGCCTCAGTTCAAACCCCGACATATATTTTGTTATATACTTGAACAGGATTACATCATATTTGCATAAGACCATCCGCGACAATTCGTGAATAATTCCCCTGGAACTGTTAAATAAGTAACTATGAATTAGTGAAAAGCAAACTGTATAATATAGTATTTGTTACATAGGATAACAGCTTGTCTATTGCTACAAAAAGGTAAAAATGTATAATGTTAGAGATGCACATTTAATTTTGTTAGGGTTTGTTTTATCACCACAGACAAATTATTTATATGTTATAATATATATTTAGACCTGTATCCAAACTAAATCTGAAATTAGAGTTATGGTCCAAAGGATTTCTTAACAGACTTGCTATTGTTGGCATGCAAGATAATTACGATACCAATTATCTTCTTACATTTCCTCATGTACTCATTTTCTATTATTTTTACAATGTTGCTTTTGGAAAGATATGGAGTATGAAACAAAAATATCGAGCGATGTATTGCCTTTTGTAATGATTGGTTCACGACTTTGTAAATGATAAATAATTTGTTTATATTTATATTTCTTTAAGTGAACTCATGGCCCAACCTCTACTAATTTGTGGTAAGTATTATTTCTTTCGAATTGGGATAAGCAAATACAATTACTGGAAACAGAGAGAAAATAAAATTTTCTACACAGTTTGATCGACACATACATGCATACATAGATAAAATTAAACAAACATATATGGATAGATACATAAGAATGTACGTACATACATACATACATACATACATACATACATACATACATACATACATACATACATACATACATACATACATACATACATACATACATACATACATACATACATACATAATTGTTTCTGCACGGGAAGGTATATGACAGAAAAGTCTCTTACTTTTCCAGAAGAATATATGAATTTCCTGTTTCGTGATGATACTGAACAATACATGATACACTAAAACCATGTCTTCCTATTGTGATCATTGTCGCGCAAAATCCAATTCGAGTTCAAACGGAAGAGCATTGATTATTAGAATTTATATTCGATGTGGAATAAAGAAATAAAAGAAGGCGGAGACTGGGAGTACAGATGGAATCGCAAATAGGTAACACTGTTTCCATTAATAAATTGATCATTAAATAATTGAGTCACGAACATGACTGGATGAAAGCCAGCAAATGGGATTCGGCCAAAGGCTTACATTTATTTAGAAACTGATTTCACATACGACGATATGACAACGTTTTGGAAACAAGTTCGATTATTTGTACTATCCAGTAAAGTTGGAAGGTGGTTAATATCGTTCTACAAATCCTGCATTATCCATCGAAGTTCCTACAATTTGGTAAAGGACCTAAATTTGTAAATAACCAGAAGGTTACCTTTGGGATGTAATAATGAAAGAGTATCTTATTTTTAAGACAAAAAATGTGCGAGAGGAATTACAAGTCGTTCCAACAGATACGGAACTTTCCCCAAATTTATTTTAATGCACTAGATCATATATACGGAACTATCACTAAATTTATTTTAATGCACTAGAACATAGATACGGAACTATCACCAAATTTATTTTAATTGACCAGAACATAGATACGGAACTATCACCAAATTTATTTTAATGCACTAAAACATAGATACGGAACTAAAACCAAATTTATTTTAATGCACTAGAGCATCACACCAGCCGTAAGTGAATATTGATAATGGCATGCTTTGCCACTTCGTTCATATTTCTAAGATATGACATTACATTTATTTCTTTCCAATACCTATTTTGTTTGAAATATCTGAAAGTTTAATCAGCTGTATGAGCCTCATCGGAGGGTTTATTGGGGTTTAGCAGCATTTCACCATTTTTTTGTCAGATTAAGTATGGATATCAGTCACCGCAGGTTTATCTCCTCCACCACATCAAATGGTACACTGATAGTAAAGCTATGAGGTTATACAACTTTGTGTGTGTTTTTTTGTGTGTGTGTTTGTAAGTGAATGTGTAATCTGGACTTTTAACATAGCTTTAAAACATTTTCAGTCAAAATTGCTATTATATCCGTTTATAGTGATGTCCAGCACTGTGTGGAATCACGATTTATTTGAATACGTCGCTTTAAATGTAGAAGGTAATTCACTTAACATCAGTGCCAAAATTATCGCCTTGCACAACATTGTACTATTTTTTAATTTGTCTTTTCTTAAGTTTGGCCTGTTGCGTCAGTATTATGCTAGTTCCGATGTTTGTCAATGTATCATTATATTCCAGGTATGCTCTAAAAACCTACATAACGTTGTTAAGCTTCTTTGTTAAATCAGTAAGATACAATCGCATGAAACAGCGATGTAATTTGCAATACATTCCAGAAAATTAGTAAAATAATACATTTGCAGAGATCTCCACATTTTCTCTCAACATATTTTGAGAGCCAATCTGATATTTTTCCATTGTATATGCTGCGACAACTGTTTAATATAAAAAGAGATCTGGCAGTCTGATCTGTGCTTTTTGATTTAGTTGTCTGAAAGTATTGGAACGTAAATAACTGTAAAATACTTTATATGAAGTTTTACGGTCACGCTAAAGTGTGCATTCCACATATTCCAACAGAAACCCATATAATTATCTAACGTGACAACCGAGATACTAGAATGCACGGATGTCAATAAAATTAGAGATAATTCAAAGATTATGTCTGCCACGTTTACGTATATGTCGTCACTTTTACACCACCAAATTGACTTTCAGATTGTATATTTCACCAGACTATGATGACAGGTCTCCTATATTTTCAAAGAAATATTTTTTCTCCAGAACTGTGACTCCATCCAGCAATGATTTGTTTGATATAGTGACGATTTAGCTTCATGGAAATTGTCTATGTTAATACATAAATAACAAATCACCTATGTTTAGCTAGGAAATGCTTGGAATGACCCATCCAATCATAAGCTAATATGGAAGAAACTTCAGCGTTTCAAGGTACTATTTATGATATTATGCATATAAAGTCTTTTGAACGATAGTGCTTTTGTCTGTTGGAGATGTCTTAATAAGGTAGCGGTAGACAAATAGAACCGTTCATATGCCCAACTGACATAAATTCTATATAGTGTGATGATTTGCAAGTCTCAACAATGTTGTAATAATAATTAATGCCTCTACATTTCAATCAGCCAATGAAAATTCTGTTCTCACTGATATGTCGTCTTTTACATTACAAAGCTTTGTGGCGTTTATTGCCAGATTCACCCAGTGAAATATAATCACCAATAATATTATTAAGAGTATGAAAATTATGGTGGCAATATTTTCCGTCCAAAGATTATATATCTTTTTGACCTTTGCTTTAACTACGCATGGCATACGATGAAAGAAGAAAGATTATATACGCAACCCTACTGCTGCATCTAAATTTATAAGAAAGGTCGAACACGTCCATTTTATTCTTATATCTATAATACCACAAATCATAATAATTCAATTTTTAAGGTGTTGTGCTGTTTATATTGTTTAACGTAACTTTAACACTTTTTCAGTCATATCGTTAGGATGTCTGCTGTGTGGCAGGTTATTATGATGTCTGGCACTGGGGAATCATGCTCATTATTAAGAGTATGAAAGTTATGATGGCAATATTTTACATCGGAAGATTATATAGCTTTAGTCTTGTGCTTGAAATATTTAAGGCTCACGATGCAAGAAGAAAGATTTTATACGCAGCCTTACTGCTACATCCACCTGCCTAATATCTAAATTCATAAGAGAGGTCGAAAACGTCAATTTTCTTTTTATAGCTATAACGCCACAAATAATACTAATTCAATGCATAAGGTGTGGTGGTGTTGATATTTTTTAACATAGCTTTAATAATTTTTCAGTCATATCGCTACCATGTGTTCAGTGTGGCAGTTTATAGTGATGTCGATCACTGGAGCATAATGCCGCAGTCATGTGGCATGATGTCCCACCCAGTCACATTATCCTGACACAAGGCCGACCAGTCCTAACACTTACCTCTTAATGCTGAGCGTCAAGCGTGGCAGCTGTTAGTACCATTTTTGTAAGCCTTTGGTATGACTTTACCGGGGATAGAACCCACAACCTCCCGCATCCGAGGCAGACACTCTAACCACTAGGCCACCGGATCGGTTCTATTCATACGAATTCAGTTATAACTTTCCAATTATCAGCAGTTCACAGGAAAATAAACAATGCACCATAATCCTAACTTTATATTGCATTTATTTAGGCTCGATGGTTACTTTTGTCCTCAATGATGCTCACAGTTCATTGTATGACCTTTACCAAGTAATAAGTCTGATAAACGTCTTTTTCTCTAGCCGACGTTTGATTCATATTGAAAAATTAAATATAGAACATGTATTTTCCCCAGGTCAATTTCAACAACAACGCAAGCCAGAAACACCTAATTCGTATTTATATCCATGTTTGTAGTTATTACACAATAATATCTGAAGATGTCTGATCATATCCTTAAGTAGAGAAATTAGGCAGTGATCAATTTAAGAAACAATCTCCTACTATCTTACATTTTGGAATATATTTCCTTTGTGATATCAATAGTTTAGCCGGGAACAAAATCGTCATGTGCACAAGTCGAAAAGTTAGTCATGTGTTTCTCTTCTCCGATTAAGTAGACATATTTTACTTAAAGTTACTTTGGGTCGAAATTCAATTGTGTTTGCGTCTGGTAGCCCCTTCAATTCAAAGTGAGGTAGAGTAAGTTATTGTCTCTCTAGTTTATGTTTACTCCTGTGGTGTAATTGTTATCATATCAGGTTCGCACTAGAATGACAAAGAATTCCCGTGGTCTCTCAAGCAAAATGGCGGATAACAATTAAATAACATCACTTAATTTCAAATTACAAATGTTTTATTTCTTTTTTTCAAATCCTATATTTAGCAATTATCAAAAAAAGTAAAATTGCATAATTACTGATAAAGTCTGACTTGCAATAAACAACGTCTTTCAGATCAACTGTTTATATCGCTATATAAAACTAACTTATGGTATTCTCGCGGGAAAGGATGTAATCACTATACAGGAAGCCAGTGACTACGATGTAATGAATATTAAATTGAATCGTCCTTTGCACAGGAAAACTTATTATTCCAAAGATTGAATTTGTTACATATTTATATTCATTATGATTTTATACACTTGTATATTCAGTTATTCTCTGAATAGGCAATGAACACACCGCAAACACATCCACATCCGCCAATATTTGATCTTTGAGTACAAAGATTCCACCGCATCTTCCCCTAATTATAGAAACTTCAGCTAGCTACTTGTAATACTGTACAATGTTATTGTGTTTCTCAAATGGTATCATTTTTATGCAAGGAGTATATCTTTTACTTTTGTTTTTCATATGTAAAAAGCTTTTTATAAACTGTAGAGAGTAGCTTTTGATAAGTATATCGCTTCAATGATAAGACAACTTAGAAATTATTTACCTCTAATTGGAAATAAATTTCAGTATATTCAAATTCTGATGTTTCTTCACACTTGTGACTAACTAGTATTCAACAAATATGAAGAATCATATCGAGATACGGGAATAATTAATGTTTGATGTACATTGTTCACCTTCACGAAATTAATCAGCCATAGTATTTATGTGTGCGGTATATCAATACCATGGTGGATTACATTTCATTGTATCAGATGTTATATCTGCTGAATTCATATCTGAATAGGTATTCTCATCCTGCTAAAGAACCTATGCAATGCAATTTTATGCATTCCCATGTAAAATTTAGTTTTTAATGTATTGTGCATTGTGGTGTTAGATTTATCAATGTTAATGTTGAATCATAGACTTGGCATCGAAACCACTTCTACATGCATCTATATACATTTTGACTTTGGTTGTATATAACCAAAACCATTTCTAACAACAATGTTTAATTGTTTCCCATATTTCAAAATACCACCGTGTACTAAATCAATGTTATTAACATCTTCACGGTTGACATATAGGAACCAGATCAGGGTTTCATTTCATTGGGACTTAGTTTTGATATATTAAACAAGAATCAATCATAATTTGTGTTTTATATTTGAATAATAAACACAATTGCTCCAGTTCATTACAGTTGTTTAATTATTATGTTTTCAGGAACAAGTCTTCAACGATATCTTTTTCTTTTAGTCTCGTGCTACTGGGACTGGAATCATTAGTTTATGTACCATTTTCTCAGAAGGAAATTACATGCGAGCTATTAACCTTTAAAAAATATTTTGTTAATTAGTTGACACATATTGTATAGTTTATGTATTTAATAATGGTAAACGTTAAGACGTTTACGAGCTCATGTTTGTATCTCAAAAATGTAATTTTTATTACTTTATCTATATAATAGTTACCTGGATGCAATTAATTTCTCGAAACCTACGTGAATGGCAAATTGTGTCAATAATTTACAAACTGCTTGGAAATTTACAATCAAAATAAAATAGATGAATAGAAAACAAATTATTTAATTACTTTTAAAATAGTTCTCTAACATAGGAATAAAAAGTAAATTGTTCAAATGAACGCACATTTTCTTCACATTTGCGTACGCCAATGTAATAACCACACGTACCCCATATATTTGCAGCATGTTGCATTTTCATTTTATTGAAATATTAGCTCTCTCTCCCTCTCTATCTTTGTCTACACAAAAGCTCAAACTTATAATTATAATTAAAATAATAATTATATATATATCCATTTATACAAAATCTCATTGACTTAGGTTGCTCTTTTATTGTATCCCATTTCTGCATGTGCATTTTCCAGGCATTTTTCTTGTGCGTGTGCTTATCGCAGTGGAGGCCGCAGGTTTGTATAGATCCTGGGATGTTTGCACTAAATATCTAGTTAAAAGTGTGTGGTCATAATGACAATCTGTTGGATGAGCTGACCTTTTCTCATCATATGGTAAGACAACGCAATTGCATATATCACGCCTACACAGTTACGCTAAACATTCTATGAACTTTTGTTTTTTTATCTCATTGTTGCAATATAACATTTATTATTTTATTTGAGCTTTATTCATAATATTTATACCAGATCTAGTTAACGAAAGTAAAGAATGCAATTTTGAGATTACAATGATCATCATAAATAGACTGTTCTCTTTTATGTAAATATTAACGACATATCAACATCTGAGAATTTATCGGAACCTTTCATTCATGTGATATAATTAATCAAGTGGTTTCGCCGTTAAATTTTCATATAAAAAACAATTAACCTAGAAAGAACTAATGATTTGTTTTTCAAACGTAAACTGTGTCATAAGGTGACTTTTGGTGATACGGGTAGCCATGTTTGGTACAAATAGCACGAAAAAATGCAAAAAGTGCCTGTGCTAAAGAAAATGAAAATTGCCACACATAACATATGCCTCTTTAGCAGTCAATGTACCGTATTCATTTTAATCTTAAGCAGCAGCCTCATAGCCGAATGAGAGCTGGCAGTCGTCAGAAAATGAATACAGAAAGGAAGTGAGAATGAATATTGGAGATGGTTGCATCACATGATATATCCATGAATTTTTTCTTCCTTGAATATATTTTCTTTCTTCTTGGCATACTTGTACAATATCGATGCTGTCCAAACTTACTGGTGTTCAGGATTAGAACAATGTTTTCTACAAGGTTAGAACAAGCAAAGATATTTTTGTAAAATGCAAGCAAATTGAACATATAATAATGTATTATTTACGCATGCAAAACAATGCGGACATATTCAATTCTAAACACTAATGAATAAGTAAATTTGAAAGCAATTTAATTTAATTAACTCATCCAAACTATTTTGATAATATATTTTTTGATGCAAGAATGCATCTTGAAAACATATTAGCTATTCAAGGTTGCATGGAATCACATGGTAAACTTTTATCTCATAATAGCAAGACATCAATGTCAAAATATAAAATCGAATTTCATACTTACATACTCATCATAAAGACAATGATATGTTTTTGTTATATAATTTTGCAGGAACTACAAGTGAAAGTCAGTTCCTCGAGTGTCGCAAATGCATAAACGCTATGTATCTTGAGGACTGCAAAGAAACGCTATCATGCTCCCCTAATGAGGTATGAATGATACACTGTTTTAGATTTTGACAGAAATATTTACACCCATAATTGGATCAGCAAAACTAAAGTATGCTTTATGTTGAAACGATTAACTAAAACTTACAGATCATACATAGAGCCAAATAACATTACGAATAAACTCAATAAGCTTCAGTTCTTATTAGGATTATTCCTCATAAAACATATAACAGGAAATAAACATTGTATATCCATAATTATTGTGTTCTCAACACAGATGAGTAAGGCTTAAACTTGTACAGATTGTAGGCCGTTACATACAATAATGAAGTAACTTTCAATCCAATTTCCTTTATGTACAGAAATCGCCTTTCTTTCTCTGAGAGGGAGAGGGATAGCGAGATTGAGAGACTGAAACACAGAAGCAAGACATATTTTATTTTGCATTACAACAAGATTGAATTCACAAAATGTTATTGTATTACCACTTGTTCATCTTTGCTTCAATATTAGCTGTAACAGAAACCCCAGAGAGAAGGTCAACCTATTATTTATCAATTGCGGAGTATTGCATATACTGCTATTAATTTTGTAAAAGCCAGAATCACCCACTAAGAAAATGATCAAACAACTAAGGTCAATAGTATTCAGTTCAAATATATCTAATCAAATTTCCATGTCTGGTGTTGGACAACATATTTCTGTATTATCTACGGAATGCACTCTTCATGTACAGTCGCTACAATGTCTGCAGTGTGACATTTTACAGTGATGCCTAGCACGGGGATATCATGCCGCATACATGTAGCATGACGTCCAACCCAGTCATATTTTCCTGACACCAGGCCGATCACTAACAGTAGCATCTTAATGTTGAGCGTCAAGCGCGGTAGCTGTTAATACCATTTTTGTAAGTCTTTCGTAAGACTCGACTGGGGATCGATCCAGCAGCATCTGATGCGGACGCTTTAACCACTAGGCCACCGGAGTGGTTATATATATATATATATATATATATATATATATATATATATATATATATATATATCTATATAT